TGTGTGTGTGTGTGTGTGTGTGTGTGTGTGTGTGTGTGTGTGTGTGTACCTACGTGTTAAACTGCTCGGCGAAGATAAGGTTGGTCGACGTGCCGGTGATGGTGATGAGGCCGCCGATCGTCGCGGCGTAGGTGATGCTGAGCGAAAGGCATTTACAGATCATGTGGTCCCTCTTGGTGGGATACTGGGAGTCCCTCCTGGTCCTCACACGCTTCACGTTCGGGATTTCGATCGCAACCTGAGAGGGAGCGAGGGGGATGTTTGTGAATGAAAGATAAAATAATGTTGCTGGCATTAATTGTCCCGTGCGAGTGTGTCTGCCTGCGTGTGTTCCTCACCTGCGGCAGGTGTCCGTTGGTGTGCCTGATGAGACCCAAACCATTCGCCCCCTCGTCACCTGTGGAGAGCTCCTGTTTAGTGCAGTCGCTGCCAAGGGACAAGGGAAGAGGGCATGAAGACTTCACAATGACGAAAGATGTCAGTTATCGAATGCAGGAGGCGCTGAAGAGCGCTGCAGGGACGACGGATTTTTGTACGCCAAGCATGTACGAAGTTAGCATCGCGCTGGTTCCCTCCACAAAGAGCCAATAGAATTTTTGGATTTCGTATCAATGCAGAAAATAATCTCTATGGCAAAATGTTTATGATGCTGACACTTTTTCTTCACCAAGATAATCTTTAAAAATTAACAAACTTTTTTTGATTTTTGAAGTGTGAATCGGCAGAAGTAAAAAGCTAACGTCAGGCTATAAACAAACCACACCTTGGTCACATGACTTCACTGAGCTTAAAGCGGACTAGTTTTGGCGTGATGATGTTTTTGTGGTTTCATTTAGCCAGATGTTAGCGATCGCCTTTTTTAAAACACGTAAAATCTCGGAAATGCGGACTCATTTCCGAGTTTTAGGACTCATTCCTGCAGCACCCTATTGCTGAAAAGCTGTGAACAAATGTTAGTTTTAAAACAAAACACAAGAAAGATATCTGAGAAGGTGAAATTCACTTTAAAAGTTGAAGTTGGACTGCGATACATAGTGGGAATCTCTGGCAATTGCAATTGAGAAGAAAACAAGGAAGATTGTGGAGAAATAACTGCCATTTCTCTCTCTCTCACACACACACACACACACCCACACACACACACGCACACACACATACCTGTCGTTGCGATAGAGCAGCTCCAGCTGGTTTTTGTCGAAGTTCTCTTCTTTGTCTGAAACAGCTGCAGACAACAACATTCATCACAATCCTGAACTGTTTGTGGAACACGCTGCACTATAATCAAGATGAACTGTTGGTTGGATCCATCTATTTTCTCAACACATCGCATATTTGTGACTTTTGAGTTTGCTTAACTTCACCGCCTGTTATCCATCCACCAGTCTTGCATTGGTGTTGGTGCGAGCATTTCTATCAAAATCTGTTAAATGTAAGAGTATTTTTATTTTTTTTCAAAGAAGCTTTTATAGTTCAGTGACCTCCCCCTGTGGTGACGGCGCCAGACGTACCGCTGTCGTCCTCGGGGGCCTCAGCGGTTTCGGAGTCGACGTGGCCGTCGGCCAGGCCTGTGCAGATCAGCTGCTGCAGGACGGCCTCAGCGATGGGCATCACCATGGCCGTGGTGGACGTGTTGCTGAGCCACATGGACAGAAACACTGTGCAGCACATGAAGCCCAGCACCAACCTGGGGGGACAGAGAGGGACAGTGAATGATGTCTGCGGGTGTGTGTTTTTACATTTGTGTAGGACAACCAGTGTGAGTCCTCACTCAACAGTATTGAGTGTGTATAGCGAGTGTGTGGATGTGTGCTGCTCACATGCCGGGCTTGGCCCCTGCAATCATCACCATGCGCAGAGCGATGCGTTTGTGCAGGTTCCACTTCTCTATAGAGGCGGCCAGGCAGATGACTCCCATCAGCAGCAGAGTGGTGTCTTTACAGTACTCCGCTGCCACCTAAACATACACACAGAGGAGACATTTCAAAATAAAAGTTTGTGTGAATTCAAATTCAGGAAGATAAGGTAGACGGGGCCCTTTTTGCTTTTCCCTCCTTAAGGCACTTCCCCCTCCTTCTTTTGGATCAACACTTACAGTTTCCCACTTGTTCTTTTTAATCTGCCCCACTTCCCACCCGCGGGGTTCTCGGCCTCGCAGTGTTGTATAAGACCGCGCCTCCTCACCTCTCACCTAAAACCCTCTGCACTTCCTCCTGCTGGACATTTTTACACATCGCTCTGTTGCACTCTTTCTCGGCCATTTCAAAGTGTAAGGAGCAGCACAGGACAGGAACTACACAGGATGCAGGGACATGCTTTCAACTCTCCTCCTCCCTTCACCATAATAACTCTTAGAATTGTAAAATCACCCGAAAGAGCAACTTTCTAGATTGCCTCGATCTTAGACTTTACAAATATTACAAATATTTACAAATATTTCTATAGTTGGAAAAAAAAGGAGTGTTTGTTGCATGCTACAGACTGGATAAAATACATATTTAAATGCTCACTGATGAATAATGTAAGCTGGAGAGGTTCCAGGTTTGCAGATACAGAATAAGTGCTGCAGTATGCATATATACAATATAAAGACTGGTCACTTGTACTTCCTTGTCTCACCTGTGTCAGCATTTAGAAACCTTGTTAATCAGTCCTAATTTAGATTTACAGCCAACAAGCAGTATTCATAGTTTCCAACACATTTTAATATTACATCTTTAGTTTTAAAAGGCCCAGTGAAGCAGATGTTAGAGCATCTTTAGTTTATGTTGAGTATTAAAAATGAAACGGAATATTTGAGCGGTGTACAGCTAACAGAGAGATTTGAATCAAATCCTTTACATTTGATTGGACCGGTAAAAAGTGGTCATCTCGACTTCGAGAGAAACTTGCTTATTTAGAAAGTCTCACGTGGAAAACTTTAACCAGATGAAATATGGGCCTAAATTTGTACCGACGCCGTTCCATTCCACGCTCACAGTGAGTAAACACGTACAAAGAGTGGCAGCAGATCAAGATAACATTTCTACTGTGAATTACCAGCATTAAAACAGATTAAAAAAGTGTTAATCATTCAAGTGAAGTTATCAGCCATTGATTGGCATGTTTGATGTATTCGGAGATGATGACGTAATACAATAAGTAACATATTGTAAAACTGTCACGGAAACTCATCCAAGAAACCTATCATATTCTTAAAAGTATACACGGACACATGCAGGTGGATCTGAGTTCTTGAAACACACTTGGTTCAGCGCACAGAAAGGCCTTTTACACATTTCCTTCTCGATCTGGATTTACTGCACATCTACATCTACAGTAATCTGATCAGCTGACTCTTACTACCAGCACAGTAACACGTCGTCACACCCGGATACCCCCAGCACCGCTGCTTCCCTAAGTGGCTGTTAAGCCCTACATGGTTTAGCTCTAATAAGTGTTTCTCTCACTTTTCCCCCCTCAGAGAGACAAAGGTCGACACCCTGCAACAGAGCCCTTGTTTCCCCTTCATCCGTTTAATCTTCTCAAACCAAAAGATTTATGTTCCACATCCCTTACAGAAAAACAGAGACGTTGTTCCAAATAGCATGTGGGGAATGGATATCCTCAGTTATCGAATGAGCTCTGCTCTGCAACATGTAAACAGAAGTATCAATGGAACTGTAAGTAACCCATGTAAGGGGACACATTTCAGCATAGGCTAATCCAGATTAAGGTCAATGGAGTTCATTGTTACACACCATGACTCTGCTCCAGTGTTATGTTATCATTATTTGGGTTGAAGCAATCTGAATTCTTTGTTTACAAGGCAATTTCTAATCACACTGATTTCAGGAAACTACAATCACTGTAGTCATTGTGATGAGATAATGCTATCAGCGCCAGCCTAATTTGTCTATTGGAAAGGAGAGCGCAGGCGGTGGAGAGGGCCACTCACATTGTTAGCTTGCTGTCAAAGATTGAAGTGACAAAACCAACAGAAAGGGGCCTCGTGTGGCTTTTTAGCCTCTTTTAGCCCTTGACCCCTTTTGTCCTCACCAATTCTAAGGGGGCTTTTTGCATTTCAGCCTCTGAGAAAATGTTCGCACTAAAACTATAAAACAGACAGATGGCTAACAATACATACAGACTCACCTCGCTGGACTTGAGTACCCCAAAGAGCGGATAGAGGAAGGCGGGTACCAGAGCAGCAGCGCCCAGGGGAACAGCCTCAGACACCCAGTAGACTGCGGTCACCATCAGCACGTACGCACAGCATGCCTCCTGTAAGTGAGGAAACACAAAGAGAGGAACAAATAATGTTTCATCACCCACCAGATAAGACACTTCTTTTGTTATACTTAACATTAAAGCAGACACATTTGGAAATGGTTGGCAACTTTTAGAAACAAGAGAAGCCTACAGCCAGGATACGGTCAGCTTAGCGTCGTAATGTGTGGAAGCAGGGGCTGAGCGGCGAGCCTGCCTCTGTCCAAAGGTTGCAAAAAAATCATCTACATCTCATTTGTTAATTTGTACAAAAAACAAAGTGTGAAAATTACACGTTGTGGTTTTACTTAGGGTTGTAAGCAGATTAAGTTACCTAAATACAGCCAGGCAAGCTATTTACCCCAACCTTAAAAACTAAAGAGGAATCTCGTGACGTTTATTAAGACCTTGTGAAGATTACCAAGACTTTCATTTAACCTTTTACACCACTCGGAGGACAATTGTACACCCCAAATTCAAGGATGGGTCCTTACGGTTTAACTTAAATTGCAGAAAAAATATAAAGGGCACTGCACATGTTTTGAAAAAGATTATTTGGATAGAAGGATTTATCTGTTAACCTGCTATACCCACATTTGTTAAACATACGCACTTTCCACTTCTGCCACATGCTGTGTGAGCTCGTATTACTTTTACATAAGGGGAACATTCAGCATAACATCTTGCCAGCAACAGGTCAGTTAATCTCAAATTAATAAACCCAGAGGGCGGAGAATTAGCCACAGGGCTTTAGGATGAGGCATGGCCAGACCTGTTCAGAGCTCACAGGCATTCAAACCATGGACTTTACAGAAATCACTGCCAAGTGTGTTGCATAGCACCCATTTTTAAAATGAGTTCTGCATCTCTGTTGTGTTGAATAAAATCTAGTTTTAAATTATAAAATGTCCATGAAACCTTTTTGTTGGTGAATGTTTGATGAATGAAAAGGTACAAAAACTACAACTTTCCTGTACTCAAGTACAGCGGAGCTTTGAGCTAAATATGAACTTGCAGCATGAAAATAATTAGTAACATGCTGATGTTAAACAGGTATTATGTTCACTTTGTTCACCAACTTCATACAGCATGTCAGCATGCTAATATTTCCTAATGTTTTCAATAAAAGCAAAGTAGAGCTGAGGCTGATGGGAATGTTATTACTTTTGCAAGTATTGATGAAAAATCAAGGGATCACACAGGCTGCAACCTCCGGGTCCGAAAAGTGAAGTCAATTCTGTCTAATGTCCATCAGGGGGCGACTCCTCTGGTTGTATAGAAGTCTATGATAAAATGACTCTACTTCTCTCTTGATTTATTACCTCAGTAAACATTGTAAACATGAGTTTATGGTCTCAATCTCTAGTTTCAAGTCTTCTTCAATACAGCATGATGTTCATTGAGTCAATTATGGTCCATTTAGAGCAGGCATGGGCAAACTACGGCCCGCAGGCCATATACGGCCCGTTGGGTTATTCATTTTGCCTTTTTCCTGCAATACCAGGCGTTTCAGTTGATCCCACTAGATGGCACACTCCAGACACAATTGGCCTTTGCTGGGGTCTGGTCTATTCTCTCTAGATGACGCCCACACCCACGTTCGCTACGTGATTGGTTCTTAGCAGTCATGACGTGTCCTTCCCTGGTTCTTCACACCCCTATCACGTGACCCTTACCCAGAAGCTCACAAACAACAACACTGATTACCGATTGGCTACCAGGTTAATTTAACATGGACAACTGATTACAGGCGTTGCTAACCTTGTTGTCTTTACTAATAGCTGTTGTCCAGTTAACGTCTGCATTATTACAGAGGAAGCAGCTGTTATTGGAGCGATTAGCGAGCAGCGTGTCCAGCGGCGTTATCAGCGCTATGGAGCGGACGTCACGGTTAGCGGCTTTAGGGAGGGTGATGGACACAAAACGGAGGACTTTCCTGTCCTTAATAATGCTTATTTTGTTCTGCACATCTATTGTGAAGTCCGCAGATAAAATGTAAAAGGAACAAAACATTAAATGCTCTCCAGTAGTACAGATAGTTAAGCCACCAGCAGAGCTACAAGAGAGAACAGACAACGAAACCGAGAGGAAACGAGTGAGACACGTGTGTTGACCAATTATGGACCCATAATCTAGTAAACCTTTACGTGTAAGTGTTGATTTTAAAATAAATTTGATGTGTGAGAGAGAGATAGAGCAAGACCTGCAGCGTTGTAACTACGTCTGAAAAATAAAACCTCTAAAACTTTCCACGAACTGTGTCTGTTCATAGAGGAAGATTTTAGAGAAGATATGCATCAAACACGACCTTTCATTATTAAAGACGACTTTATTACTCTGTCGTATTTTGTTTAACTAAGCAACCAATCTACTTCCTGTTTAAACGGCACCCACATGCCCAGTGTCCGCGAATAGTCACGTGATATTTGTTTTCAGGCGTTTTAGTCTGGACGGAGATCATTTCGAAAACGATGCTGAAACGTCGTGTGGACGGAGATCGTTTTTGTTTTAAAACGAAGTTCAACTCCCTTAAACTGGATGAGTTTTATGCTTCATTAAGCGAAGTTAAGTTTCCAAACATTAGGAGGATGGCACAGAGGATGCTGGTGTTGTTTGGCTCTACCTATGTGTGTGAGCAGACGTTCAGCGTGATGAACATCAACAAATCACGTCACAGATCCCAGTTAACTGATGAACACCTCAGATCTGTCCTGAGAATTGCCACAACCAAGAAGAAGGCAACGGCCCAAAAACAAGATGGTGACGGCCAAAAGTCTGAACTCGAGGCTTCAAAACGACAGTCCAAAAACCAATGGGGGACATCACGGTGACTACGTCCACTATTATATGCAGCCTTTGGGATCACCACAGTTGCTTCTAGTAGCTGTGGCTTGGTATTGGTTTGGCTTTCATTGCACAGGTTGTAACTCCAACACAACGAGTGCTCCTGATTCACTGTGGATTAACTTGGCAAGAGGAAAGAGGCATTTCCAGGAACCGCTGTTGGATTAGGCTGAGAACAGAACAAGTTGTTAGGGTTCATAACCAAATAGGGCCTTGCCAAAGAAAATGTAACAATCCAAATCCTCCCAGAACACATACAAACTTCACAAAGAGAGAATGTGGTAAAAAAAAAAAAAAAAAAAATGGTGTATTCTTCATTTGGTTAACTGTTGTTTGTCTCTACCACAACTATACATTCAAGAAACATGAGGTCGCCTGGTAACAGGATTAAAGCAAAGCTAGGTTTTAAGCTGTTAGTCTGTCAGAGAAAAGTGGAAAGAGGAAAATAGAGGGGGTACAAGGGAACTAAGAACAAATGGACAGATAAAGAGAGACAAACATGGACGACATAACTCAGAGGGTGATGTCTGATTCAGCAGTCACTGATCATTGACTATTGGTCTCTGTTTTCCCAGATGATAGTTGCCACACAAGGACTGCAGCTTCAATCAGATTCTCAAACATCCATCGCTGATGCAACCTCAGTCAATACATGCTAATGGAAGAGAGCCCGTGTTTGCTTTGAGGTCAGACTGCTGTGACAAGCATGAAATTTCAAGGATTTTTAAGAAAAGAACAATGTAAGCAAAAGTTTACTCGATTTTCTGAGAATGTAAGAATGTGATGCTGGAGTGCCTCACATGTTTGTGTGTGTCACAGCAGGCTGTGTAGAGGAAGAGGTTTAAGGCCCTAATTTAGCTTTCCAGATTTAAATAGGCATCATAATATCTCTGGCTGGCAGATATTTGCCAGAATTAACCAACTAAAGAGTTTCACATGTGGGTTTAATGATTTTTATGTCCCGCATAGCTCTATGACCTAAAAACGTCAGATGAGTTGGACATTTTACTCAAACTCTGACAGTTTTACCGCTGACAGGCCAATTTCTGTCTCAAATGTAACAGAAGACCATTGACTGTCTCATCAATTCTCTTTATCTGTGGACATGGATTGGTATTTAGAAGGAAAAAAAAACACACACACAGTGACTGAAGGACTCCTGATAGGCAGATTAGGTCACAGCTGAAACCTCTATTCACTGAACCAATCAGCAGAGGTCTAAATGGGCTTTTAAACTGACAGATAACATTAACACACACACACACACATTCTATTGTATACCCATACGCAGATTAAACCAACATCACAAATACAAGTGAACACATACATATAGCATAGTAAAGCCTTTAAATCTAGAGATCTTGTCTATTTTTGTCAAATAAAGTGAGATGTGAGAAACCACCTATACAAAAACACATGCACTCAAGATTAAACACCTATGTTACCATCACCTGTGGAGTTTCAATGCTCTCTGCTCAGAGATTCCAACAAGATGTTCTAGTAGAAACCCAAAATACAAGTATGAACCTGAAAAGAGCATGATATGTGTCCATGCTTTAGTGTACAAAAAAACACATGTTGTTTGTCATACTGTCTGAATATACCTGTATTCCCCCTCTGTCTGAAACACTCCGTTTTAGCACCTGTCTCTTTAAGCCCCCCTTCCGAATAAACCCAGTCTGCTCTGATTGGCTTGCATGAAAAATATGGCGCACCTTTGCAAAGGTAGTTCTGAAGCAATGGGTGGTATATTCTAAGGAGCCCGCATGGCAATGGCTTGTTGAATGTGTTCTGATCTAGGCAGGCAACAAAAAACTGACTGGATTGTCTTGTTTCACAGTTTGTGGGTCGGTAGGCACTCCGGATGCCCAATGTAAAAGGGAGTTTTTCATGATATGCCACCTATAACAAGACTGAGAGTCTCCAGCCATTAGTTCTGTGAGGCTTTACATCCGCACAGGGATGCGGACGTAGCTTTGAGCTAAATGCTAACTTCAGCATGCTAACAAGCTCCCAATGACAATGCTAGCATGCTGATGCAGGCATCATTTTTTACCATGTTCAACATTTTAGTTTTGAGCGTTAGCATACTATTATTGGCTTATGTTACGCCCCCTGACTTAACGATGCCTTTTTTCTAGTAGAGAGCTCTGTTTGTCTTTCAGGTCTGCCACGCCCCTTGACGATCACTGAAGCACCCACACCTGAGAGTCCTCATTTCATCAGTGGAGCCGCATATCAACCCCGAATCCAGTGTTTCCCGGCCCCCATTTGTTCACTCTGGGCCTGTGGCGCTGTGGGTTTGCTGTTGCTGCTACTGCTACCAAGGGCATTTGTGCTGCCGTACCTGGGGTTCAAACTTCATGGAAGCTTTGTAGGGGTTCTCTGCCTTTTATTTTGTAAAGTTTTCTCCTATTTTTGTGACTAGTTAGGGAGTTCAGTATTGTGTTTGTTTGTTCGTAGGTCATCTGACCTCTTCTTTTCCAGTTAGCATGGGGGTTTTGTTTATTATGTTGGCCTTAGAGACCCTGACAGCTACGCTTCCTTATTTAGTTGGTTTGTTCCTGTTCATCTATACTGTTAATAAATGTGTCTAATTGCCGCTGCCTTATCCTCTTAGTTTTTGTTAAACTTTTGCCAAGGTTTTCCATCACCTTTTATGTTACTTCCAGTGTACCCCTAGGCACACTATATAGGCCGTAACAGCTTATTAGCAATAAACACAAAGTAGAAGTTAAGTAGGCCACAACGTTAGCTTCTTACTTCTTGCGATTGCATTTCTGCTTCAAACATCATAGGAGTGGTGTTCATCTGGGAAAATTATATTTCTGCAATAATCATAAATCCCATGGAGAAACCCCCACTGGCTCTTTGTCGAGGGAACCAGTGCAATTCTAACTTCCGGGTTGGCCTCCACAATACGTCATCTTGCATCACTCTAACAGTGTTGAGCCAGAGAAAAAGTCAGGGGATGAACAAAGTCGCTAGGATTCATCTTCTGGGGACCATGAATTCTGTTAAAAATGTAATGTCATTGTTGTTGGGATATTTTGGGACTAAGTGACTGAGGGACCCACATTATCAACCCAAGGGGCATTTAATTTAAACATTCAATGGACTGTTATTTAGCATCCTAGGGAACATTTTCTTTGTATCCAAGTATACATTGTGTTGTACTCACTTCTGTTCTATAGATTGATTCATCTGCAGCTATTCATTTGTAAGGGGATGTAAAATGGCAAAAGTATATCTGCCATTGGCTCTGGATTTTTGTCAAGTCTCTCTCCCCGTCTGACCTGGCCTGACTGCATCCAACAGATGTTCTGTCTTTCTGCAGCTGGACACAGTATTACTCCAAACACACACACACACACACGCTCTTCAAACCCCTGCCACATTCCTGACACAGTCTGGGGTCCCTGGTGTCGTAAGGAAGCCACGTGGGGCCGAAATCCAGCGTGCTGGTAGGTGATTATACAACTTAATTGCTCGGATTGTTTCTTTCTTTTTCTTTGTAGTGAAGTTTTTGTTCTCTGTTGGCTCTCATGCTGCGCCACCGACCCGTGCCAAACATCCACCAGTCCCTACATAACAACAAGGCTTGCGGGCCACAGAGCTGATTGGCTGACAGACAACATGTGAGCAAGTAACGGTTCCTTTTGAATATTAATGACGTTACAAGAAACACACACACCTGTGACACAGAAGAGCCCATTTATAATACATAGACACAGTCGCAACTCGTGCAGTTATTGTTTGAGATGGTGGTTCTTTAGCAACGGCCATATTGAATGTTCAACGAGTGTTGAAAAAACACAACAGAAAGTTAATATTAATGATATGGTAATAAGCATGTGAATGCATGATTATTTGCAAGAATGTTAGCTACAAACAAACCCACTTGTTTATTTTAAATACCTTTACATTTCTGTCCCGTTTTGCATGTTATGTGCGACTTCATAGTTTGATTTATTGCAGCTTAATCACCAGACAAAATCATATTTTATGATTTATATGAAAAGGATTTTTGGTGTTTGACACAGATTTGGACCTGGCCCCAGTTTGATGCCTCTCGTGAATAATCATTGAAGTGAGTCGCAGCAAAAAGCATCAGTTTCTCTGAAAAATAAAATATAATGATATTTAGCACTTTCTCAAGTTGCATCTGTATTTTGTGATCTAGGTAGCTGGAAATGTTCTTGTTTTAAAGCACCAGAAAAATCATGTGCAATTTTGTATGAAAGTATAAAATAATAAAAAGAAGGAAATATAGCTGATAACAGAAATATATATTATATAAATATATTATTTTAGTCTTCCAGATTTTCAAAGATTGAGAAAAAAAAATGTGGCAGAGAAACTGACGCTCAGCACTGTGACTGTAACTGCAAAATAGTGGTACATGAAAGGCACAAACTGGGGCTAATGTGGACCGTTTGGACCAGGGGTGACCAAACTTTTTGCATTGCGGGCCACATAAAGAAAAATATAAGGAGTTGCAGATCTAACAATAGTAGATTCGACGTTTTCAACCAGTTTCAACTGCAGAAAAATCTGTGTTTAGACCAGCAAAGTGCCATAGAAAATTAACTACGCAACACACAGTTTGACATTTGACATTAAAATAATTTATTGGTGAGCCTACATATTACAAAAAGTGTTTCTATATCTGTTGCTCTTAAATTTTATTTAAATTCATTCAACACTTCTAAACTGAAATAAAGGCCCACTCAAAATTGGATGTTATGTGTACATCTGTAAATAAGTTAAAACAGGCAGACAATGCAGAATATTGGTTTCTGTTCACGGCCTATGGGCCCACTTAAAACATTTTTGATGCAAATGTAAATCTGATATTAAGACGCAACAAACATAAGAAGGAAAGAGGCCATGAGGTGGAGACAGAGGTATCTCACTTGTCTGACAGATTTTATGAAAGACAAACACCAGCTACGAGGCAGAATGAGAACTTCTCAGTGGCTGTCACAGAAAACAATCCGATTGAGCGTGAGCCCGAAGGAGCATCAAGTGGTTCACTCCTCTCTTTTCTCTCCCTCTTTAGCAGCATCTCCATCTCATCAACATGTCGCGACATCTCTCCTCCACACACACAGCTCAGCTGATGATCGGAAAGCTCGACACAAGCATTCATCAACACAGTGGACAGTGTGCCTTTTGATTAATTCTCTTTCTCTAGTCTCTCTCCCTCTCTCTCTCTCACACACACACACACCACGAAATCCCATCAAGACAGTGAAGCCATTAGCAGCAACCAGGAGGGACATCAACACATCAGCTGGATGTTTTGTTTACTGCTGCATCGGGTGTTTTCTAGGTATGTATGTGGTTTAATGATATATTTAATAATTTCGAACTAAATTACTTTCTTATGTGTTGAAATACAAATCAATACTGGTCCTACAGTGTCCAGTATTAACTAGTTTGATTTGTTGTATTTTATTAATAGCCTAATCTCCTTTAAATTCTACCATCCAATTGCAATGTGCTCTTTTTTTGAAAACCATGACTTTCTGGTAGATTTTGAAATGTCTTTTCTGTTGATAATTTGAAAAATAACAATATTCCATTTCCTGTACTCACGCTGGTGGGGTGGATGAGCGGTAAGGGAAGCAGGGACAGCGGGATGAACACCACGAGGATCAGCTTCCGCGCCATCCATAGCTTCTTGAACACATCCATCCTAGCTGTGGCCTCTAGCCTCATGGATGACCCGGGGCTCTGGATCGGACTGGCCACAACTCAGCAGAACCGGGTGTGAAAGTCACCAACCGGAGGGTCTCACACCACCACTGGCCGGAGGAGCCAGAGGGAAGACGTCTCCTGGGAGCGCGTGAAGTTCTGCTTTGGCTGTGCGCTTTTACGCACAGACCGCGGACGGTGACAGGACCTGTGCGTGGCTTCTGTGAGGTGAGTGACCTTGCTTTTACCCAGAACAGAATTGTACTTCCACTCTCGTGCCAGGCACACCAGACCCGCAGTCCCTCTCCACGTGTTTAGTGCTGTGTGAGGCATCAGGTGAGGCTGCCGCCACATTTATGAGCCCTGATCGGTATGCTAATTCATCACGGCTTTACCCCACCCTCTCTGGCCCTGTAGGGACCAATCAGGGGTGAGAAAAGTTTTCACAGAGGCGTGGGTGTGTGCGTGTGCATGTATCCGGTAGTTTTTGCAGCAAAACTCTCTACACGGGAATTGAATGGGGTTTACAGGGAAATTATGTGTAACACAAATGAATATTATTATAATGGCATGGTTGCTGAATAAAATGGAGTTATTAACATTAACGAAACATAAATAGAATATAAAAAATAACTTTGATCATACAACATGTTATGAAGTTTTCTAGTGTGTGACCAATGGTATAATAAAAATGGTTCGAAGTTTTGATTACGTAATGTGAAATCATATAACCCTAAACAAGAATCCTTAACACTTCAACATTACACAGTGAAACAAATGGTGTCCGTGGACTGAAAGGGAACCAATCAGTTGAGCCCTGAAGTAACACACTGTCCTCTAGAGGATTCAGTGAAGTGGTGCAATGGCAGTTTTATTCATATAGCAGATTTCATTACACGTAAACTCAATGTCTTTACATTTAAAGACAACATAAAGACAGGGGCATAAACATGAGGACATAGGTAGCATAAACAAAATAAATTATAATAAATAATATAATATAAGAAGAATGCAGTAGCATACACAAGCCCAACCACACTGCAATAAAACAAACATCTACACAATAAAATAGAAATTACATAGCTACACAGATAGCCAACTGTACAAGAAATAAGCAATATATAAACATAAATGTCACCAATTAATCGGCATTGTTCATCCAACCGTTTAAAAGGTCTAGATTTGTGGGCATCTAGCAGAGGTTGCAGCCAACTAACTGAAACTTGTCTTGTGTGCCAAACGTGTTGTGGAACTATACGGTTACCAATGCGAAAATACGAACGGCCCTATATAGAGCATAGACTGTTTACAAGAAGTGGACACTGAGAGATTTTTGGTCGACCAAAATATTACGATTAACTTTAAAGATCTGAAAACACCCTGTGAAATGGTTAAAGTTCTCAGACAAAAACACAGGCAACTCCCAGGCCGGACAACAACGTGGTAGCAACCTGTCAATCACAAGGTAGCCCGCCCCAAAGCATACTCTGCTTTATGGTCTATTTGACTCTAAATGGACCATAATTTATGAAATGAACATCATGCTGTATTGAAGAAGACTTGAAACTACTGTCGGGATCTATAGAGCCAGTGTTTAGTTTGAAGAGGTTCGCTCCATATGCAGATACAAACGGCTCATTCTAAAGTAACAAAAGCAGAACAACTCTTATTTTGAGGTGATTATACACTAAAGAAAACACATTTATTAATATGATATTCCACTTCTGCCAATAGATCCCCCTAAACATTACACACTGGCTCTTCAAGTGGAAAACAATATCATTAAATAAATATTTTTTCTTTATGTAGTTTTCACCAGGGCCAGGTCAACCCTCCAGAGAAAAGGTCAGCAATTAGGTTCAACCATTCATTTAAGAATGTAAATGATTTATTCGGCTAACAGAGTTATACCAGCTTATGCCTGAAATGTGCAACGTTTTGCTCTATACCATGAAAGGGAAAGTTTTAGCTTTGATCAGAGGATCAGATATTTTTGTTAGAGGTCCTGATTTAGCAAAACTGAGATGTAAATCATCTGAAATAAAAATTGTCCATAAAGTGCCATTTTCCTGCCGGGAGCAGACCTCGGTCAGAAGTTACAAAACACGTTCAAAGCGCATGGAGTGTTACATGAAAGGGTCGATTCAAACCCATGCGCAGGGCCGTCACATGACAGGAGTCCACACATGCTTTACGCACCATTTAAACTCACAAACAGATTTTCCTTCATTGCGTAATGAGGATTAATTCTTAGCTTCTCGTCCAGCCCCCCCCCCCCCCAAAAAAAAGACAAGGGAGACATTTCAAGGGATTGTGTGTTTGTGTGTGTTTGTCTCCTCTTCACTGGGCCTTTGAGCTTACATAATCCAATCACTGTAAGCCAATTCTCACTAAACCTCTTTGAGTCTTAAACTCCGTAAGACTTTGTCAATGGCTTCACACTTCACACAGAATTCCCACTGTGTGTGTGTGTGTGTATGTGTGTGTGTGTGTGTGTGTGTGTGTGTGTGACAGTACGGAGGGTTATAAGTGACACAACTTACCATAAAAGTGCAATTTACATGGTACATATCTGCCCCTCTATTTTCTGATGTGCACATTAGTAGTATTTGTCAAAGTGTGAGTAACATTAGGCCATCGTGTCTAGACCGACAGCTGCCCGCGAAGCCTCACAGTAGGGGAAATTGGTCAATACCATTATTTGGCGGGTCTCCGTTTGTCCTTTTGCTCCTCCCCCTGGTTCTGATTGGATTAGAGTCTGGCTGCGGGGCGTCTTGTTTGGATTTTCTGTGTTCTAGTCTGGAGGGTTACAGTCGTTACCGGTACTCATGGGACGCTTTTCCAGGATTTTAGAAACTAGAGATGTTTCGTAAAGACCAAAACGGAGCAAAAGGAGAGTGAATATTGGACTTTTTTTTGCCAATAACATGAATACAACTGACTGCTAATGTTGCATTGTGTCTGCTGGGTGAAACAGATTAAAGAACTGTCTGCAAACACATGATTAGCCATAATTTAAAAGGTGTCGATATGTCAATTTTGTGTTTACAGCTTGTTTCTGCTGCCCACAAGTGGCCCAAAAAAATCAGTGAATGCAAATATTTTAAACAAACCATCTTCTCCTATAGACATAGCATAACACACCTTTAAACCCTAAGAGTAGAGAGGATAAAAGAATATCATCTCTAACAGAACATCAATAATGGAGTCTTCAAAAGGACACAAAGGGATTTTTCTTTTGAAAAGCACATTGTTCCTGGAGCGCTGGAGCTCCTGTAGGTCATACATAATGCTGAGGCTGATGATCATGCCCTTATGATGTGTTGAGCTGCACGGTCTCATTCAATCATCCTAAAATCTTATTAATGTGATAATATATGTTTACAATAGACTGTAAGATAGTGTCATTTCACAGGAGCTTCCCTATAACGTGGCTAGTCCAACGCGGAGCTGTCCAGTCTGCTGTGGTGCTGAATCCTGAATAAAATGAAATGAAATGAAATGATGGGGGATGCACATTATTTAGCTAAAGCAGGAGAATAGAAGAGTTGCAGGAAAAGAGACTTATCTTAACTTGTGCAGGTCCACCAAAGACGAAGAAGTCCACAGACACATCCGAGCCGGTCACAGAGATAGTTGAACAAGTTTCCTCTAAACTTGCTCTGAGGATCAGCACATTGTTATCCAGGGAAGTCTGGAAAATCCAGCCGGTTCTTGGAACAACTGCCACTGTGTTTACTTTTGTTGCTGTTTTTATTATTTATGTATTTCAGCAAAGATGTCCAGAAACTGGATAAAACCTTTAGTGATCTCTCACTCCTCTCTCTGCCCCCCCCCCCTCTCCCAGCTCACAGGTATGTCTCATTTATCTCCTCACTTTCCCCACCCTCTTTTATTGTTAAGGTGAAAAAGGGCTATTAAGTACTTGTTGCCTTTTTTTAAGTGAGTTAAAGTCAAATGTGTTGATTTTGCGCGTGTGCAATTTGTAATGTTAATTAGTTATTCTGAGTTATATCAAAGTTCTAAATGTATAAAGTATATGGCCATTTGTCAGTCACACAATACTGTAGCAATGGCTCCATTATAGCCATTTTGGAAGGATGACGGCTCTTGTTTGTTAGAATGTGAAGCCCTTAACATCCAGTTTCCTTTAATTGTCGCTTTCGTCAGGGTCACTGACCCCTAGTCCCCCCC